TACGTCGCAACCTTGAAACTTCTTGGGAATGCTCCTAAGCTGTTTAAAAACACTGTATTTATTCCAATGAGAGATTAAAACCTTGTCGTACATGACTAACCTTATGTTACAACCTTGTTGGGTGTATTTTTAGTCATGATATAATACTAAATATGCTTAAAGAAATGCGTCAATAAGTCCAAAGGTGTGATGCATGAGAAATGTATTGAGCATACACTAGATCTATAAATTGGCAAATGGAGGGCCCTTATAAAAATTCAATCAATATGATTCTAGGAAAATATTTGCGAGACATGCTCCTGACATGATAAGTGGATTATGATGTACCTAGGATTCATTATCTAAAGGCTCCTATGTGCCTTAAGAGTCCTGGTCATCGGTCAACTCATATATCTTTGCTAATGACCAAACATAAAAGGGTATCAAATAATCGTAATTCGAAAATACTAATGAGGTCACAATACATCTTTCCGTATAATATTGAAAGAATTTAGATACAGTACGATACACTTTCGAACCCGTCGTCAATCAAATATGTGCATCTTGGCTAATGACTGATCATAAAAGACTCTTAAACCATCTCAATTTGAGGTAAGCTCTAGGACATATTCCTCAGGCCACAATACGCATCTCCACACAATATTGGAAGTGTTTAATGCGGTATGATACATTTTTTAATCCGTCATCTGCCAAAGAAAGAGTGTTTGACAGATGGAACATAAGGAAACCTCACCTTATGGTATCACATTGAGGTGTGTCCTTGCAAATATATTCAATGAGGATTCATGTGCCTCTAGTCCCACAATCTTTTTCATCCCTAATAAACATGATTCTAGGACTTGTGGGTTATTGTACTAATCAAAACACAAAGATTGTGCATATAAACTGAGAAACCATTGAGGAAAGGGTCATTGTACGTCGATTGTTGAAATTGAATCAGTTCAATCATGTAACCCTGCTGATACCAAAGGGGCATCTTCGAGATGAGAACTTTTGATGAAGGAACCAACTTCACATATTGACTCATTTTTTAGTTTATCTTTTTCTTTGTCAAATATCGCTATAGGCCCGATCTCCTCTGGGTTTGGGTTGATATCTTGTTTTTCCATCTCCCCATTGATGAGAAAGTTAAATATCCTTGTTGCCTTAAGGCCAACGTCTTTCATTAGATGTTGTTGTTCATAAAACATAAGACCTTCAGTACGTATTGTTCTTCATATATAATAGAACCTTCATCAAAGATGGTGTCATTTGTGACATCAATGAATGATAATTCCAACAGAAGATCCAAATCTACTTGTTCCTCACCTTCAACTAGTTCTTCACCAAACTTAGGTGCATTACTCTCCCAACCACGAGGCTCCCGATGCGTAGTGTGCGCATAGAACAGGTTATCGAAAATAACTTCCAACTAACTACTGTCATCATAGTGTGTTGGGGCTGGATTTGGGCCAAGCGCTGGGTCAGCTCCTCCACTTGCTTTATCAGATTTTCTATCCCAGAGGTCTCGCTCTCACTGGATCGACTAATTCCCGATACTAAGCTGTCAAGCACATCCATGAGCCATGATGGATTATTGATGAACGCCGCGATCCCACAAGATTCGATTGACGCTATGATACCACCTAATGCCCCTGAAAATTCACCAACTGCCAATATCTGTCAAATACAGCGACATTTTAGAGAGATACAAAAAACTGAGATTACATCAACAAGAAGAAAGCACAATATGGCGATTCGAGTCATCCGCCAAGCACCACAATAGAGTCAACTTCTCTCTCTTTTTCTCTCTACTTTAAATACTTCTCTCTTTTTTTCTTATTCAACCAAAATTGTCATCTTACAATTGACGTGCTCCTTTTATTATCCCTCTAAACCTTATCTTTCCTAAAGAGATTAACTTTTGAAAAATAAAAAAAACGTACTTCTTTCTCTCATCTAACCATAAAACCTCCTACTCCTCCTCTTCACTTTTTTCTTGAAGATAATATTCATGTCTTATCTTAAAAGACAAGTTTTCCCCTAACATAAAGGACAAGCCTCTTATCTTTAAGGAAAATCCTCTTAAAACAAACAAGCCTCTTATCTATAAGAAAATTCTCCTAAAAACAACTCCTAACAAGAATGTACTCATACAAAAATGGACTTTTCTTTTTACTTCCTACGTTGTTGAATTTTATCAAAATCTTAAACTCTAAAATAAATAAATTTTCTAAAAAATAAATTAATAAAAATTTATTTGTATCACTAACAATAAAAATCTTGATTTAACCATGTCTTAATAGGCATCACTATCTATCTCCCCTACATGTAATTTATCTCTACTTTTTATTTCCCTTGCTGTAATAAAAAGGCATATACCCTACAATCTCTTTAGGATCTAGTGCTAGTTGTTTTACATGTGTTAACTTCTTAACTATATATATATATATATATATATAGAGTAAAAGTATACAATAAGACCGTTTACTTTTATAAGGTGGTCACAATTAATCTTGACCATTGGATGTGAAATTGGATGGCTGCATTTATTCCATTGACCAATCTCAAACTTCAAAAGGAATTTTCTCGAACTTTATGATGCACCCAAACAATTAGTTTAACATCAGATGGTTTTAAGTAATTATGACCTCTTGTATCAAAAGTAAATGGTATCGTAGTATACAAAAGTATAGGGCAACATTGCTGCACTTACAACATGAATAGCGCACATTGAGTGGTGCGTGTGCACGGTGCGCAGCATACGATTGAGTACTAAGTGCACTTATGTAGTACTTCGTGCGCATGTGTTTTTGGGAATGTAGTGCAAATCGTACGGTGTATAAGTGCCAACACTCATTATAAGCGTGGGCCACATTGCTACACTTCGCACATGAATATTGTACATTGAGTGTGTGTTATGCACAGTGCGCAGTACACAAGACTCAGTGTACTTATGTACTACTTCGTGAGCATGTATTTTGAGGAACATAATGCAAATCGTATGGTGCATGAGTGCACGACACTTAACATCATAAGTGTGGCCAACATTGCTACAATTTACGCATGAATGACACATATTGAGTTGATGTATAAATATGAAAACAAAAAAAGATTTCGAGTCTGCAAAATAGTGTATCTTGGAACACATTATTTGGGCCGTCTATTTTTATGATTTTCATGGGTTTATAGATCTATTTGATTTGAACCATTTTTAGAATTCAAAATTTTGTCATTAGAGATAAAAATAGACCCATCTTAAAATTTTTGATATCAAAATTACACTTACTGTAAAATTTAGGGAAAATATCTCCATACCCCCTATTTTTAAGTTTCATATCTCATTAGATCCTAGAATTCAAAAGACATCTTGTAGCATGGAAATCTTAACTTTTATATCTTCTAACCCCTTAGACTAATTTTACCCACTTTATTCTTTTCTTTTATTCTTTTCTTTAAACCCAATCAATTTGTTTAAAGACAACTCTTTGTAAACCACATCCTTTCTTTCACATGATATTCTCCTTATTTCTCTCTCTCTTTCCACCTTGACTCTCCCCAACCCCTTCTCTGTCTCTCATGTCATAATTTCTCTTTCTCTTTCCATAGTGACTCTCCCTAATTCCTCTCTTTTTTTCTCTCACGTCATGATCTCTCTCTCCATACTGACTCTTCCTAATTCTTCTCTTTTGCTGTCTCCACCATGACTCTCCTTAATTTTTCTCTCTTTACCCTCTTTCTCCTTAATTTTTCTCTCTCTACCCTCTCTCTCCATGAATCTCTCCAATTCTACTCTTTCTCTCTCTCTCCCAACTCTCTCTTTTCAGCCATCTCTCTCCCCAAACCTCTATTTTGCAAGCATGAAGTAGTCATCCCAATACTCATATAAATCTCTGTTAACCGTCTGAAGGGTTTTACATGCATGCTTACATGGCAGGATGTAATATGGATGAAGAGAGAGACGGATGAAGAGTGATAGGATGTAATACGGATGAAGAGTGAGACAGATAAAGAGAGAGTTGGGATGAAGAGAAATCTGATACTCATATAAGTCTCTCTTAACCATTTAAAAGGGCTTTACATGCATGAATTCACATGAAGACCGAGAGATGGATGGCATGTATTACTGATGAAGAGAGAGAAGGATGAAGAGAGAGAGTTGGGATACTCTTAACCATTTGAAGGGCTTTACATGCATGCTTATATGGCAGACTTGTAATACGGATGAAGAGAGAGAGTTGGGATACTCTTAACCATTTGAAGGGCTTTTTCATGCATGCTTATATGGCAGACTTGTAATACGGATGAAGAGAGAGAGTTAGGGTAATACGGAGAGAGAGAAGGGGTTTGGGAAGAGTTACGGTAGAGAGAAAGAAAGAAAAATTAAGATAAGAGAGAATAGCGACATGGAGGGGGGACAAAGAAAGTAGGGAACACGATGAGAGAGAGAGAGAAAAAGTGAAATTAAAGAGATTCATGAAGAGAGCGGGTAGAGAGAGAAAAATTTAGAAGAGTCATGGTAGAGAGAGAAAAAGAGAGATGAATTAAAGAGAGTCACTATGAAGAGAGATTAGAATGTAAGAGATAAAAAGAGAGAAATTAGGGAGAGTCACTATGGGGAGAGAGATAGATAGAGAGAGAGATTAGGACGTGAGAGAGACAAGGTGTAATATGGGGAGAGAGAGAAGGGGTTTGAGAGAGTCACAGTGGAAAGAGAAAGACAGAAAAATAATGTAAAAACCATGTGAAGAGAGAGAAGATATGGTTTACATAGAGATATCTTTAAACAAATTGTTTGGGTTACAAAAAAAAAAAAAAAAAAAGAAGGATAAAATTAGTCTAAAGGATTAGAAAATATAAAAGTTCAAATTTAAGTGACACAAATTGTTTGGGTTAAAGGAAATTATTTGGGTTAAAAGAAAAAGAATAAAATGAAAAATTTAAAGGTAAAGGGTCCATCCTCGTACAAATTTAACCGGAAACAGTCAACTATATATAAAAGGGGTCACCATTTGATTTGATATCGTTGCATCTTTGGGTGAACAATAAAGTTTACAGAGAGTGATGGAGGACACGAGAAAATTAGGGTTTCAAAGGCCGAAGGGAAGGTATTCCAAGGCTTCTGATCCGAGGTTTTTAACAGATAAGAAACACACGGAAGAGCGAGTTTGTCCAGAGCCATTCTTGGCCAGAGGTCGAAAATTAGGGTTTAACAAAGGAAAGGAGCAGTCTTATCTTGCTTCTTCAGTGGATCAGAGCTCTATATCAGAGACAAAATATGTTGGAGAACAAGGATTCATGGATGAATTGAATGAGAGAGGCAGAAAATTAGGGTATAGAAGGGGAAATAAGGCCTCCAGGGATGAATTCACGGATAGAAGCAGTGAAACGGGGTTTAGAAGAGTAAAGGAGCAGTCTTGTAGTGTCAAGTCTGTTGCAGAGGACGTGTACGATGAAGACCAGAACTCTGATGCTCACCCTTCAATTATAGGCACTTGTCCAGATATGTGTCCAGGTATATGTTTCTTGAATGGCTATAGTTTTCCTCTTATTATGAATCCATGGGAGGCTAGGGTTCTCGAGTTTTACTTCTTTAGTGAAAATTTTGTGAATTCCTTGTTCCTGATGTGTTCTTTTCCTTCTAGCTATACTATGTTAGTTCAATTGCCGTAGTTGGAAGAACCAAATATAATATAAAATAGATATTTGCTTTATTTTATTTATTGGTAGTAGCTTTCTTTGTGTATTATTGAAAACTCGGCAAACTGCTACAACAGAGACTTGTTTATGATTTATTTATTGATGCAAATTTGTGCTTGATTTTGTTTCAGGATTTTAATTTTTTTGTAATTTTTCTGTGAAGTGTTGTTCAATACCTCTTTATAAGTTGGGACGTTTAACTTGTTTCCAACATAAAAATTTTGAAATGTGGAATACTTTTTATGGGGACCTTTATTACATAGTATGCACTTTCACTTTATTTCTGCAGGGGCAATTGAAAGAAATTGGGAAACTGTGATAAGAGTTTTTGTTCGATGTATGTTTCAAATTGGGTCTTTTACTTGTTGGGTTTGGTACTTGAAAGAAATTGAAAAAGCCATGATTTTATGATATATACGTAGTTTTTAGTTACAAGATTTTGCTATGACAATCGAAAATATATGTTTAGTTGCTGCAAGCCTGCAACACTAAAAGTCTCACAGAGAAATTGCATAAACAATCCATGGTTTATCGAATAATTCCTGAACATGCTGATGAGTTTTCTATATCCCTGGTTTTCAAAGCTTCTATCTGATCTTGATAGCATGCAATGCACCAATTCTCAGCTGTTTTTTCCTTGTTTGGTTCCCCATAGAAAAAGGACATGTCTTCAATTGAACTCGTTGACTGTTGTCAACGTAAATGTTCATCTTCTCTATTACCCCATTTTATCAAAAAATTTTAGGTAAGTGAGCAGACTCACTTACTCTATATCATAAATTACAGTATATCATAAATTTCCACCACGTTTTTTAAGGGTTTTAGGACCAAAGTATATCATAAATTACTGTAAATCCATTTCTGACTCAAATAGATGAGTTTAGAGCTTCAAGAATGGTGGAGAACTGATGATCTTTGGAGAACTGAAATGGACAGTTGAAAACAAGGTTACATGATAGACCATTTTAAGGCTCAAATTTCATTTTTTCCTTGACATTCATGATTGTGGTGGTTGGGGTGAATAGCTGAGGGTCAAGTCCGAGTTTAAAAATACTGGCACATAATATAGAGTTTGCCTATTTTAATGTTCCCTTTTTTCAAAAAATTATAAGAGGTTACTGGTTTTCTATATGGGAACCAATGTGTTAGAAAGGATTTATACGATCTGAGAGGTTACCTGTTTTGACAGGATCCCTTTTGAGTGGGCTTATTGTAAATGCACATTTTCAGCTAAGGGAATCTCTAACTATTAGGTTGGTGTCACACTATGTCACATCATAAAACATATGCAGAATTGCGGATCATTTTTCATTTGATTGTTTGTATAGATCTATTTGATGCACTCTTAACTTCATTTTTTAAAATGTATCAATCATGTGTTGGTTCTGAGCTTTCTGAAAAATATGAAGTCAGTTTCCGAGTTGGACCTAGTCTTCGTAAAATTTCCATTACCCTTCTTGCGTATGATTATCTTAAGTAAGAACAACGATTTATCGTTCAGGCGAAATTTAGCTGGAGATTACAGATTATTTCCTGTTGATTATGAAAATTCTTCTAGGTTACGTTGACATTAACTGTTTTCTAATAGCCAGGGAAAGGGCTCAACGTGAGCGGCTCAGAGATTTAGCTGTGTTTGAGAGGTTAAATGGGGATCCACAAAAGACTTCTCCAACTCTTGCTGCCAAAAAAGTAAGAGCGCTGCAAGTTATTTCTTTGTTATCATATGTTAATGGTGCCTTTATGATTTTCTTTTACATATTTAAATTTTAACGAAATAGGAAAATGAGAAAAATATGCAAAATGAACTAGAAGAAAATGTTGAGAAAAATATGCAAATGAATTAGGAAAACATTTTCTTATAAGAAATAGAGAGGTTCATCCCTTTGCATGTCAATCGCATGATAGTTTGCTTTGATAAGTAAATAATTTCAATTCACACCTCCAAACTATGACAAATTTTTCCTGATATCTTTGGAAAGCATGCAGTTATAAAGTTCAAAGAATTACACTTTAGTAGTTAAATAGATTTTCCAATCTTCAATAAGGCATACTAGGTTTCATCATGAATTCAATGCTTGAAATTCAGACTGTGCTTGGGAGTTAGAGTACATGAGGTGCACATAATCTTCTTTTGTAAATTGGAACTGTCTTCTTCATATTTCTTTAGAAAAATATCATTTAAAGGGCAAAATCCCTTAAAAACCATTAAGGGGGGTCAAAAGATCCTAATTAACAGCAGGGGGTTTACTTTTTAATTTTTATTTCATTCAATTATGACTTTGAAAATATCTTTAAGTATGCCCAAGTGGCCCTTATTCAAGGTTGGAAATCTTGAACAAGCAGGGACATTTCAATAATTTGACTTGCAAGGGTACTCTTGTCATTTGGTTGGGGCATCTTAGGTGGGTCATTTTACTAAAATGCTCTCGATTGTTCAAGGTTCCCAACCTTGACTAGCGGGAATTTGGGCATTTTTTATGATATTTTTTTAGGTGGTCCCGGAATGAAATGAAAATTAAAAAGTAAACTTTCCAATGTTGATTGGGATGTCTTGGCCCTTGAAATGATTTTCCAATGGGTTATGAGTTATGACCCCTTGAACAAATACCTTTTTTGCCAATTATTTTACGTTTCTTTCCTTGAACTCACATGATTGCTTATGACATTGTATCCATCTTGAGCACTTCATCATGTATTCAGGCCCAACTATATTTGCTTCTTAACTTATCTAGGGTATGTGGTTTTCAAGTGATATCAGCGGGAATCGTTTTTCAAAAACTGCATTTCTACGCTTTGGATCCACCCTCATAATGTATAGTGTTTTAGGATCCTCACCAACTAACTAACTAACTATACACACACAAACGCGTACAGGACAGAGCTACCAATAAGTTGTCAACTGGAATGAGTAGTAATTTCGGTTGTACTTCTAATTCTCAGATATTTGATCAGATTGTTGAGGGTGTATGTTACTAATTTAATTATAATAGTTTTTCAACAAATTGGATCATATGGTATTTTGGCCATGTGTAAATATTATGAAACAAATATTTCCCAAAACTTAAAATGATCAAAATATCCCTGAAATATGTCAGGGATGTTTTTTGTCATTTTAAGGTTTTGGAAATATTTGTTTTATATTTTTCAATGGTGTGTGATAGTGTAGGTACACCTAAAATTTTACCTTAATCATATTTGTAGAAAAAAACGTAAAATTCAAATAGTAACATATATTCTTAACCATCCAGTCAAGAAATGATGGTGAGGAACATAACCAAAATTACTATTCACTTCTCTCTCATCCCTCTCTTATACCTCTCCCACAAAATCTCTCCATCTCACCTTCTCCTTCAATTCTAAGGACTTTCTTCCCTCTCTTATACTTCTCTAGCAAAACGTCTACATCTCCTCCTCTTCTACAACTTTCTAAAATAATTTTTGAAAAACAAAAAGGGAAATATTTAGTGTAAACTCCTTCTGACAACCTTTCTCACCCCTCTATCTCCACTCCCATCTTGCAAACTATCCCTCGCTCTCTCTCCCTTTCTTTCTGCTTCATCAAACAATCACCGCTCATTGAGGATTGAAGACCCTTTCGACTGAAAGGCTGCTAAAAAGAACAGTATAGATAATTCACCTCGTTCTCAAGAACACCTGCTTATACACTTATGAAGCCTCCTCTGGCTTTGCTTAGCTGCTCTATCAGTATAAGAAGGTTTCAACAAGTATGCTCGGATATCACTCTGGGCATCCATCATCCCCAAAAGCAGGATAACAGTGATAGGTCTGCCCCTACATTTTTACCCCTGGGTACAAGAAGATAGATGATGCCAGTTCTTAGCAATGAAAGAACTTTTTGATCTCTTTTGGTTCTATCCCCCAATTTGAAACACTTTCTTCTCGACTTCTTTTCTCTTTCTCTTCATCTTTCCCTACACTTGTATTTTCTCTTTTTTCAAATTATTTCACTGCCTATCTTACGCACAACAACTGTTGTATCTCCGATCACCCAACCTGTGGGTCGCCAACTTTTGTTTATCACTTTTTTGTAAATAGTTTTCTTCTCATTTATACAAGTCAACCTTTTCTTCAAAAAAAATAAAAATACTATTCATTTTAGCTGACAACCTATTGGTAGCTTCGTCCCCCTTTCCCACACGCACACACACATACATAAACTGATCACTTATTTAGAAATAGTCCATTTTCTGTATTCCCTTGAAATATTTTTAAGGCCAATTTGGTCCCCTCTAGCTATTCATGAGTAATTCACGTTTCTATGCTCTGCTTACTTGAGAAACTCTGAAATCACTTGAGGAGAAATTGTGTGAAATTGAAATCTGAAGGCCTATCTTAAAAAGAATTAGGATAAACATAGTGGTTGATATTGTGCACAATATCTTCAACTTCTAATAACTATTACATCATCATTATCATCATCATCAAAGCCTTTTTCCAATTAATTGCTGTCGGCCACAAGAATGCTGGTCCAACATTCTGCTCTATTAAGGGCTATACCCTTAGTGCGGTCGTAAGTCCCCACATCTTTTCTCACTACTTCCAACCATGTCCTTTTGGGCCTATCGCATACCCGTTTTTTCGTAGATCTAGAAATTCATTTCAGCCGATTGAACCTTCTCAATCTGTTTCTTTTAAGAACCAAAAAGATTTGTGCCAGAATAACAAATACCAAAAATTTGTATAGGCTAAGATCACGAGCGGAGATAAGTGGACTCGAATCGTTGACATCCACCATAGGGTAAACCACCGCGTCTCGGGCCTCCCCGACTGATTCTACCATAGAGGCCAACGATAGACAATAATTCCCTTGGTGTAGATTCGGGGATAATCCTTTGTTTTATAGCCCTGAGGCTATTTGCAACTAGCCAATTCATAATTCTTAGGTGATGTGCTACTAGCAGTACAGGGGAAATTGAGGAACTTCAAACAACACGGAGCTAAGGCAACTATTCAATCAAATGAGGAGAATGAATGATTAGGAGTAAACAAGGCCTTCTAAAAATAGAAATTTCGAAACAATGGAGACTTTTTCGGAGAGTGGGTGTAGTTACTAATTCATGATCTAGCATGTATGGAATGAAAATTTCATTCTTAAGAGGCTCGTGGGATTGACGTGAGAGGGTAGGGATGGCTATATTGCTGGGAGTGAACACTAGGCTAATATGAAGTGTATGAATACAAGTTATGCCTTGGGATGAAAGACAAGCCCATTAAAGCGGTACATGAGCTGGATTCAAAACGTCTTCAGACAGTTCGGTCCATATCCAGTGTGAGCGCTAGAGCATTGAGAGGACCTTTCCCTGGTACGAGAGGACCAGAAAGGACGCACCTCTGGTGTACCAATTATCGTGCCCGCGCTGGGTAGCCAAGTGTGGAGCGGATAACTGTTGAAAGCATCTAAGTAGTAAGCTCACCCCAAGATGAGTGCTCAACTAACTCACACCTCTTAACAGGTGCTCTATTGGGTCTGCGCCACACATGACCAGCCCACATAAGTCTATTTTCTCTCATCTTATTGCGTGTTGGTGCCACACCTAAATTATCCCTCGAATGTATTCATTCCGAATTCTACCCCTTCTTGTCTTGCCACTCATCCATCTCAACATCTTCATCTCAGTTATAATCATTCTATGGATATGTTGTTTTTGACCACCTAACATTCTACCCCATAAAGTAAAGCTGGTCTCATAGTTGTTCTATAGAACTTGCCCCTGAACTTACTTGGTATGTGGCGATCACATAAAACTCAGGTCGCACGCTTCCACTTCGCCCACCCAGCTCTAATTTATATGCGACATCTTCTTCGATCTCTCCATTTTTCTGGATTATCAACCCAAGATATATTTAAATTGTGCTCTTTTTGATATTTCTTGGCCACCAATCCTAACTACTTCCTCGTCTCTACTCCTGTTATTACTAAACTTGCATTCCATAAATTGTGTTTGTCCGGCTAAATTTAAAACTTTTAGATTCTAGAGCATCCCTCCAAAGTTCTAAGTTTGTGTTGACGCTATTTCCGGTCTCATCGATCAAAACTATGTTATTTGCGAACAACATGTACCTCATCTTGTAGGTGCCTAGTTAAGTCGTCCATAACTAAGACAAATAGGTACGAGCTCAATGTTGATCCTTGATGTAGACTTGTTATCACTGAAATCTCATTCGTCTCTTCATTAGTTTGTATACTAGTTAGCCCTCGGGCATATCTCTCACCAAGACAATGTAGTGTCTAGAGACTCTTTTTTTTTTCAACACCCACCAGTTCCTATCTCTAGGTACTTTATCATAAGCTTTATCTAGATCAATAACTTTTTTCTCTTCACCATAAACTTCTCAATCAGTTGCCTAAGTAGGAAAATAGCCTCAGGTTATTGTCCTCCCTGGCATAAAACCGAATTGGTTTTCTAATACACTCGTTTTTTGCCTTAGTCATTGTTCAATCACTCACTCCCACAGCTTCGTATTGTGGCTCATAAGTTTGATTCTTCGATAGTTCTCATAGTTCTGTATCTCCTTTGTTCTTGTAAATAGGTACCACAATACCTTTTCTCCATTCGTCTGGCATATTTTTTGTTCTCAATACCTTGTTGAACAACTTGGTTAGCCAGCCAATGCCAATCTCCTCCATACACTTTTAATACCTTTATTGGTTACCATCTGGTCCTAAAGCCTTTCCTATGTTCATCCTCTTCAAAGCTTCTTTCACTTCTGATATCTTAATCCTACGAATGTATCTATGACATCCACCCTCATTTATGCTGACAATTCCTTCTATCATTATGCCCTATTGTGTTTGTCATTTAATAATTTTTGAAAATAAACTCTCCACCTTTCATTGACCTCTTCATCATTCACTAAGACCCTATGATCCTCACTCTTAATGCGTTTAATATGGCTTAAATCCCTACACTTTCTCTCTCATTTTTACTAATTGAAAGATATTTTTTTCACCTTTTCTTGTTCCTAGTTTATTGTATAGATTATCATATGCTTTAAGTTTAGCCTTACTAGTTGTTTAGCGTTTTTCTTAGCCTTTTTATATTTTTCTAAGTTTTGATTATTTCTATTACATTACCTTTTCTTATAATATGATCATTTCACACTAATGGCCTTTTGAATCTCATCATTTCACCACCAAGTTTCCTTATTGCAATTCTTTTTCCCTCTAGATTCTCCTAAAACTTCTTTTGCCACTTTCTTAATACAGCCAGCCATCTCATTCCATTATAATATCTATTCGATATTTTATTTATTCTATCATCTATAGAACTCTTTGAGATTTCTTTATGGTTATCATGTTGTGTTCAATACTGTTTTAGCTCATGCTTTGCAAGTAGAGGAATTAAAAAATTTAGAGAAAATTTCACCAATATTCCCCAATTTTACCTTTACTAAATAATTACCCAAAAATTTTCTATTATTACTTTCATACCTTCCTTGTTTGCATAGTTTTAAAAATGTCCAAACTACCATATTTCGTATCTTCAAGATCCGAAATTTAATTAGATGGAAGTTTGTAAAATTTCAAATGCTGAAGATCTGTAATTTAGAAATCTGAAATTTTCAGAAACTCGGATTTTGAAAATTCGAAATTTGAAGTTTCAGATTTTTAAAATCCAAAATTTCCAGAATTTCAGATTTTTAAAAATCTGAAATTCCTTTTGTTTCCAAAACACCTTGGTAGTGGGGGTTTTGTGCTTGAAGCTAAGAGAACTTTAAATCCGAAAATTCTATAGGAATTTTGGATCTTGAAGGTTTAGATAGGGGCATTTTGGTCAAAGAAAACAAAAAACAAAAAAGGAGTATGATTGTAAATTTTGAAAATTGAAGGGGTCTTTTTTTTGTAATGAAGATGTTTTAGGGGGATGCGCACATAAATTTCTCAAAAATTTACTTACACTCTTTTTGATTCACCATGAATTCTCCATTTTTGGTGTAGAGTAGCAATTCACTCACTATGTCTGTCATTAGTTTTGCAGAACCATCTCTATGCCACAGTTGCATGTATCAGATATACGACCTCTTCCTGTGCTGCGAGATACATTAATATATTTGCTCAGGCTTCTTGAGGCAGCAGATCATCCATTTGAAGTGGTTCATAACTTTGTGTTTGATAGGACCAGATCAATCCGACAAGATTTGAGCATGCAGAACATAATCAATGAAGAAGCAATCCTTATGCATGAGCAAATGGTAAGTTTCTTACGGTGCTTAAAAATTTGGCGATCTGACTCACCTCACTTGAGTCACTCTGTATGATCCAAGTCTTGACCGAGTTTGGTCACGTCTTTCCAAGTTTGTCTGAGTCACTAGAAAAACCAATGAGTCTGGTCATGGTCATGGTCTTGATGGGGGTTGGGCTGAGGAATATGCAAGCTGACTCGGACTTGCCCCCTATCCAGTTTCGTGCCCCGTTCCATTCTGTTAAACACTTTTTATTTATTTATTTCATGTTCTCATGTTTCGAATTCTAAAATCCTTTCTATCTTGAAGAAAATATGCGTTTTTTGGGGTTTGGCTATACTAAACATCAACACCCAGCATGGATGCAGGAAAGCTTCTAGGCTTGGGTAGTCAGGGTGAAAAGGTGCCACAACATGGCATCTGAAGTTCCATTCCTACCAAAACTAGCCTTCTGACAAAAAAAAAGAGACAAAAAATAAAGCTGTATTCATGCAAATTACTGTTTATGTACAGCAAAATGGATCTCACAAATCAACATAAATATCTAAAGGAACTGTGGATTTTTTTTTTTGGCTCAGTTATTGGATGTGTTGTTAGGTGATCCGCATTTTTTATTAAATAGGCAAGCAATCATTCAGGTAAAATTCCACATTATATCTCACTACAAGCTTCCCCAAAGTGCCAGCTCAGCTAGCATATCTTCCTTGTGTCATCTCAACTTGGAGCAGCTCACAAAAACCCTCAAGACCCTTTTTGATCTGTATGAGATCAGTAGGAGCTGTGGCACTATTAACAAGAACCGAGCTGAGTTCTATTCATACTATGTACTCCTGCATCTAGGTCCTCACGGGCAATCAACAGTGAGTCCGGCTTATTCCTATCTATTTCTCTTTTTCTCTTTTCTCTTTTTCTCTCTGAAACACTTATAATAATAATTGCATTATGACTCTCCTTCCCTCCCTCCCTCTCCTCCTCCTCTCTCTCTCTCTCTC